GACAACCAGCTTGTTTTTCCAAGTCCTTGCTTTGCAAAGGATAGAAACAAATTGACCGTTGCTAACAAACTTTCTTGCTGCTGCTGGGACAATTGCACATGCAACGGGCTATCAAACGATACCGATGAAATCTCTGGACCGGATGACTTATGGGCTATAAACGCTGGTAACAAATCAAAACTGGACCAAAAATCTATGCCCAGATATAGGTCTTGCGCCAGGGATGGGACTATGAACAGTTTTAGGGTTTTACTTCGGCCTTGGAAGCAGACGTCTGTCGTAACTTTGCCAATTATTGATTGGCTCTGGCCGTCTGCGGTACGTACTGCTGCTCTTGCGGGCTTGAACTGGGTCGGATCCCGAGCTAGGTCGGCTGCAAAAGATCCACCTATACAACTGATTGAAGCACCTGTGTCCATCAGTCCACTAAGCGTCTTCCCTAGTACGGGGACTTGCGCATAGGGTCGCAAGTCCTTAGACGTATTCACCACTGTCGCTATTACCTTTGATCGCTCGTCTTTCCAGATTTGTCGGAATTTGAGCAATCGCTTGCGAGATCGGTTCGGGAGACCAATTTTTACTGGCTCCGAGGGTAACAAAGGAGTCTGTAAAGGAATGTCTGGTAGTTTGGATACGTCAGGGAGTAATGGATCTGTTAAAACGTCCATTAGTGGGTGTTCGTGGCTTTCGAACTGACTGGTTTGCGTGCACTTGTCGGCTGTGCACGACTCCAGGAGTTTTTTGAAGCGGTACACTTAGGGCACGACGGTTTATACGTATCCCGTTTGCCACAGCCGTAGCAAAATACAGTTCGTTCACCTACGCAGTCGTGATAGCGATGACCCTGCTCACCACAGTTCCAACAGGAAATGGTAACTGCCGCGATATCTACCAGTTCTGTTTCCTCGTCATCAGGTTCATCTTCCTAGTCGGTCTCTACTGCAATTTCGTGCACCTGTCGTCTTATAGGAATACGTTTGGGTTCAGCACTGATAAAAGGCTTAGCTAGTGACTGCATGAACCTTTCTTGAGTGCGCACGATGTTTCGCAATTGAGCTACGGACAAAATCGGGATATATAAAATCTCATGTTGGATCTCTGCCCACAAATTCGCCTTTAGCACTTCCAACAATGCCATATCGGACATGGGAGTGACTAATTTATCGGCCAATGCTACAATGGCTTCGTAAAATACGTCAAACTGTTCGTTGGCCTTCTGTTTTCGTTTCCCTATGGCCGCACGAATTTCCAAGTCCGTACGCCCATCAATAAAACGAGTTTTTAAGGCGGTACTTAGCTGTGGCCAGTTCACGGAGGGTACGCTTTTGTGGTAGCGCCAAAACCACTCGCTAGCACTGCCTTCAAAAAGGTAAATAGCATTTCTGGCCACTAGGTCAAGATTTCCCTCTAAGGTCTGCTTGGTTAGAGCTTCTATGCGGTATATAAAATCTTCTACCGACACAGACGACTGTCCGGAAAAACGCACCTTCCATCCTGAAATGATCTGCCCAATCCTATCGGGTCTTAATCCGGTAATCTGCTGGGATCCCCAAGCGTTTACCGATGCTCTAGAGTCGTTGGCCTGATTGACTTGGGAACCAAAGGACTCTCGACTCTTCTTCCACCGGCTTCTGGCCTTCTTGCCCGCTCATTTCTCCAGAGCGCTTTGTAGCGTTCTAAGGGAGACAGGCACGTTCTCGGTTCTGTCAATGCCCAACCCGACGCCTTCCTTAGCCAATAAATCCTCTGTCTTGTTACCTTCGATGCCCTGGTGGCTGGGAACCCAATAGATCCGCACTGACATTGTCGTGCCTAGGTAGTCTAATGCTTCCCTGCTCGCCAGGACGTTTCTGGAACTGACCGCTGACGACTGCATGGATCTTATCGCCGCCTGGCTGTCCACGAACAGGTTTACCACGCCGTGTGAGCGATCGATGGACTGAGCTGCCTCCGCCGCTTTCCGTATGGCGTAGACTTCCGCCTGGAATATGCTGCATTGGCCCGGTAGCTGTACAGTATATGCCCGCTCCTACTCCTCCTTCCATCTTAGAGCCGTCGGTGTAGATGTTGAGGTGTTGAGTCTGGTCCCGATCCCATTTCCAGTCGTCGGATCCCATAAATGAGGTTGTTTTTACATCCAGGCAAGTTTGGGGGATCATGTAGTCAGATATACTGGTCATGTCTCGGCCCGTGAATGGAAGAGTGCCTGCTTCCACTGGTACGCATCCAAATGCTAGAGATTGATTCTGTAAATGATTCTAATGGGAGCCTTTCCTTCCTTTCTTTTTTTGCAGTCTATTAGCGCAGCCGAGTGGAAGGATCATGCCACACTCTTTCCAAAACAAGATTAATCCAATCCAATTCTCACGCATCCTGACACTTCTTCTCGCCTGAACATTCTACTAAAACGCTGACCCCAAATCCTTCCCATTTAACTCAGCAGGCAGATCCATCCCCCCGCATTGGGATTTACTTGTTTGCATGCATTCAGATTGTACGAATGAAATTTATGCACATGTATTGATGAAAATCCTATGTACCAATAGGACTTAGATTTTAATTAGATCAGATTGATTGAACAAATAAAGTACCGACCCACAAATCGATGGGATTTTGATTTACGTTCCTGTTCAAAGACGCGGAAAATCGATGTATGACTCGAAATACAAAAACAACATACATTGCGCGTGCGTGACTGCAGCCAAATACTTCCAAACCCTATTTGGAAGGGTATCACTAGGTGGTCACCGACCACATGGCATTGAAATGGCTCAACAGCATAGAGAGCCCGACGGGGAGAATCGCAAGATGGGCGCTAGAGTTACAGCAATACGACTTTGAAATAGCGTATAGGAAGGGGAAGCAGAACGTGGTGGCTGACGCGCTATCCCGATAGCCCATGGAAGAGCGATGTATGCGAGCGGAGGACGTTGGACAGGAGCCCGAAGAGCAATGCTCATGGATAAAAAAAGTCAAGGAGAAGATGAGAAAGAAACCGGCCAAGTTCCCAGATTACGTGGAGGAGGCAGGCGGGGTGTACCGGCATATCCCGCACCGGGCCGGCGACGAGGAAGTAGTAGCTTGGAAGCTTTGCGTGCCGAAGGATCGACGGGAGCGGGTCATGAGGGAGAACCACGATATCCCGGAGGCGGGTCACGCCGGCGGCAGGAAGATGATGGCAATGATAGCTGCCAGGTACTACTGGCCGGGGATGCACCGAGACGTGAGGACGTATGTCAGGAAATGTGACACCTGCATGCGTTTCAAACCAAGTCAGGCACAGGCGGCCGGGAAGATGTTGACACAAGTACCAGAGGAACCATGGGCGACGGTGTGCGCGGATTTTGTGGGACCATTGCATAGATCAAAACATGGCAACGCCATGCTATTGGTGCTGGTGGACCAGTTTTCAAAATGGACCGAGCTGGTGCCAATGAGAAAGGCCACGGCAGAAGCCCTTATAAAGGCTTTCAGAGAACGAATATTGGCCCGGTTCGGCGTACCCAAGGTGATGATCACCGACAATGGGGTACAATTCACCAGTCGGGCGTTTAAAAAGTTTCTGGATCAGATGGGAGTTCGACACCAGTTTACGGCACCGTACACGCCGCAAGAAAACCCGACGGAACGCACCAACAGAACGGTGAAAACCATGATCGCGCAGTTCACCGAAGGGGACCAGAGATGCTGGGACGAGAAGTGGCCCGAGTTAATGCTGGCCGTGAACTCTGGGGTCACTGAGTCCACTGGATTCGCACCAGCATTCATAGTGCAAGGGAGAGAGCCCAGGCTGCCGAAGGCGTTGTACGATGAGGAAACACTCGGCACGGGTCAGGAGATAAACACTCCGGACGAACACGCGGTAAAGCTGAAAGAACTTTTTCAGCTGGTGAGGCGGAATTTGGAAAGAGCAGCCCAGGATCAGGCAAGATATTACAACTTGCGAAAGAGAGCTTGGAAGCCCAAGGTCGGTGAAAAGGTGTGGGTTAAACAGCACCACCTGTCTAACGCAGCCGAGGGGTTCGCAGCAAAATTGGCCCCAAGGTATGCCGGGCCCTACCAGATCACTGATTTCGTGTCACCGGTGATATGCAAGCTGCGTAGAGACAGCGATAGGCATACACGGACGGCACATATTGGGGATCTAAAGCCACAGGCAAACGACGAAGGAAAATAAGGAATCAGAAACGGGCGGAGAGATCCAGAAGCCAAAGGCGGTAGGCTGATACCCTCGGGGGTCCAGTGAAGTGGGAGTGATAATCCAGTTCCTGGGGTCCAGGGTGCCTGGGTCATCTACAACCGTCGGGCTTGGCCGGGCAGAAGACACTACCCACGCGTTGCTGACGGGCGAGGAGTCGGATGATCCTCGGGTCCGAAGCAGCTGCATGGGGCAGAGGTCACGCCAAAGGCCAAACCGAAGGCGGCAATGAGGTGACAAGCCAGGGCCGATCGTCTTGATGCAGCCGGGCGAAAGGTTGGAGGACCTGTTAGTCAGGGGCAGGTATGACGATTGGCATCACGGACCAAGGATGCAGGATGGGCTGGAAAAGAAGCCAAAGTCAGTAAAGGATAGCGCACATTCACAGTACTCACATGGGCCGAAGGGGGGTTCGATCAGTTCGGGGGAGAGGGGAAGCCGGGCGGCAAGGCCTAAGAAAAAAAAGGGGAAAAAAATAAATATAATAAATGTGGAAAGGAAAATATATATATTTAAAGTTTCTTCAAACAAAAGGGGGTGGGATCAGGTATGATCGGGTGCGAGCAGACCCCCACCGGCCGCGGAAGGGTTAACGCGGCGAAGAGCCCCAGTGCTGAGAGGCAGGAACCTTCGAGAGAGCGGGAGAAGGAATGCCCAACTACCGTACGATGGAACGACGGGAAAAACAGCAAGGGCTCGACGGCGGCAGAGGCTGGAGCTGTCGATCAGTCACGAGCCAGAGGTAGACACAGACGCAAGCGCGGATTTAAAAAGAGGAAAAAAAAAGAAGGAAAAAATCGCCATGTTAAAAATTTACTTGGAGGAACAAGCCAGAAGTGTGGGGAGCCGCAATCCCGAGATCCAACGCCAGCGACGGGCGGAGCCCTCGCGAGGTGAGCGGTGCGATCGGCGGAGCGAGACTCCAGAGTTGGAGCTCATGGCGTCCCCATTTACAAGTCCCATGGCATCCCCAAGGAGCGAGTGGTCCTCGTGGGCGTCTCCTCGAAGCAGACGGGAGCCGGAAGTGTCGCCAGGAGCAACGGAGGAGGAGGACAGCGAAGACAGCGACGTGGTGGTAGTCTCCGTCGAGCCGGCTCCAAGGAGAGCCGAGCTCAGGAGCATGCAGCTCAACGAGGAGGAGAAGCGGGAACGGGAGCAGGAGCTGCGGCGCGACGCAGCATTCCTCGGCATCGCCATCCGATCGGCGGAACGCTATTTGCGTGAGAGGAAGCGCGAAGCTGCAGGGCAACGGAAGCCGCGGCAGCCTACGACACTCAGGCCGACGCCATCGCAGCCGACGGCAAGGCCAACAAGGAGGCCAGCAGCGCAGCAGAGACGGACGGCAGAGGTACCGAGACGGACGGCAGAGGTACCGCTGCAACGGATAGCGCGGCCGACAGCGACGCCAGCAGCGCGGCCAACAACCGAGGCCATACGGAGAAGCCATATGGAGCAGCAGCGCAACCGGCGAGCAGCAGCAGAGGCGCGACGCGAGGAGGAGCGGCGACGCGAAGAGGGGCGGCGACGCGAGGAGGAGCGGCGACGCGAGGAAGAGCGACGACATGAGGAGGAGGCCCGAAGCAAGGCAGCGGAGAAGGCACAATAGGAGGCGGCGCTGAACAAGGCCATAATGCGGGAAGCACAGGCCGCCCTGCAACGGCAGATGGAGGCCGCGCGGCATGAAGCCGAAGCTCACGAGAGGTTCCTCAAGGTGAAGACGGGTCTGTTTAGCGGACCGGCGGGGCAGCAGCAACCCCAACAGGGTGAGGAGGCACCCTTATGGGAACGCCGGCATCCCGAGCCACCGCCGAACTCACCGCCACAACAGTCGTCGTCACGACAGGAGGAGGCACCGAAGGAGCCGCCACAGGAAGAGGCACAGCCGCCCCAGTGGGGTGGTCCGGAGAACGCGGTGTGCGGGCCATTTGTGTCGCAAAACGTGCACACGGCGGTAAGGAATGGCATGATACGGCACCACCAAGTTATACACATAACGTGGGCGTCGGGACCCGCACCATCGGAGGCGCAGGAAGAACGGAAGGTATGGGAGGAGGAACCAGCCCCGCGAAGCAACGCGCGTGATCCACGGCAGCACCGGAGGCAGGCAGAGGCCAGGATGGCAGAGGAGACGGCGTCGGAGGCGCGGGAGCCAGCGGCAGCGGCAGCGGGAACACAAGCAGCAGCGAAGGCACCGGCTGCGACGGCGACAGGGGCACCGACAGCGGCAGCGACGGATGGGGCGGCAGCGACAGAGGCACCGACAGCGGCAGCGACGGAAGAGGCGGCAGCGCCAGCGCCAGCGACGGCGACGGAAATACCGGCAGCGGCAGCGCCAGCGACGGCGACGGAGGTACCGGCAGCGACGATGACGGAGGAACCGGCAGCGCCAGCGACGGCGACGGCGACGGAGGAAACGGCAGCGCTAGCGACGGCGCCGAAAGAACCGGCAGCGGACACGGAAGGTGAGAGGTGGGAGCGCGGTCCGTGGGTGTGGCCCTCACCTGCGAAGGCCAAGGCTAGGCCTGTCCTAATGCGGCAATCATCGTGCCCAGATCACAGGGCTGAGGTCGCCCGGCCGCAGCTGCAGAGACAGCAGTCGGTGGAGGAGCCGACGGGGGAGAATGTCCGCTGGCGACACGTGGACATCGAAGAATGGCCGGAGGCAGTGGCTCGGGCAGTGGAAGGCACACGCCGGATCGGCCGACGCGTAAAGCGTCTCGTGAGGGTGCGCGGGGTGCGGTACCGGGTATCGGCGTCGGCAAACCAGGTCGAGGTGTCGGTCGAGGTATGAAAGGGGGGGAGGGAAAAATTTGTGAATGAAATGAATCAAAGAATAAAGAATGAAGTACAACTTACCCCGGGGCATGGCAGCTTGATGTCGGGCTAGTCGTGGGGTTAACACGCGAGGTACACAGAGCCCACGAGGGCAGTAACATAAAAACTTACGCGAAAACGCGGCCGGCCAGTTTATACAATAGATACCGCAAGCGGAAGCAACACGTGAAGAGGGTCTGGCAGCACGATCAGAGGCGCACATATCGTTCACACGATGCGCGCACCTATCGTGCACGCAAAGCGCGCACCTATCGGGAGAATCATGCACGGGGCTGGTTCCGGAACTACATCGGCAGACCCGATCCGATAGGTGGCGAACCGATCGGGCAATGGAGGAACCAGTCCGGAACCAGCGTGAGTGCGCGCCCGCGCTCACGCTTGAATTCAAATGGGAAGGTGGCCGGAAGGAAAACGAAGGGAGTTTTCCTCTGGTAAAGAAAGGGGGAAGTGTGAGGAATGGAGTTTCCTCACAAGGGAACCAAGTAAGGGTTAAGACGAGAATTCACGGCGAATTCACAAGAGAGTGAGAGCCGGCCGGGCGCCGGCTCCGCCTAGTAAATTTTCAGTCGACCGAAAGTGCTATATATTCCGCTCGGTTCCTAGTGTGACCTAAGTTGGCAAAATGTATGCTCTACGGTTACACTGTTTGGTGTTTGTTTACAAACAGAAATCTGTTTAAATTTCAAATGTTCTGCTAAAGTAAGCAGAAATGTCTTATTTGTGGGCGCTGTGGAGCTGGAGGGCGATAATGCACACGGCACTATTGAATAAATCCGATCCTGCAGGAAAGATATGCAATCAACATGGTTTTTAATCTCCTTTTTAAAGATTAAAATGAGTACCGGGTATTAAATTAATAAATAATAATAATAATAATAAATAATAATAATAACTCCCTAATTAAATTTAATTTATCTTCATTATTGTTTCCTTCCATATTTAATGTGTGTGTGTTGTGTGTGTTTTTGTGTCATGTCATTAGACGACGGAAATTGAAAATTTTCAATGTTCCGATCGAGGGAAAATACCATCGGTTGCTTTTCTAGTATGTATCGAATGGCTTTTTCTCGGAACTGAGTACCGGTCTGCGAAACGCCTGCTACGAAATTTTCGGTCGACCGAAAAACAGGGATGATTTCTTATCGGTTTCATACGAATATCATCCCTTTTTTCGGTCGACGGAAAATTTAGCGCGTCTGAGTACTAGGCTTAAAACATTTCATATCGGTTTCATACGAATATCAACCCTGATTCTGTTCGCGAGGTGTTTTTTTCGATCTGAGTACTAGGCTTTAAATATTAAATAACAGCTTAGATACCAAAAGTATTTTCGTGCCCCAACGCTAGTTTCGGTAATCAAAATATCAGGCAGCTCGTTTGCTGAGCACACATACATACATGCATACTTATGCATGCTTGAATACGTATGTATTTCAAATATCATTACTTATTGACATGAATACCCTAATAAAAATTGTTCTTTTTTAAAGTCATGTTCTTAATATAATTTGTATTCAAATTAACGGTTAGTTACCATTCGTACAAGAGTTGTGATTGACTGGTTGAATAATAAATTAACTATATTCTCTGTATTCCTATTTAATATTTTTTCCGCGGCACACCAGCCGATGACCACGGTACACCAGTGTGCCGCGGCACACGCCTTGCGGAACACTGCTCTAACCAACCGTTCAGGGTGAATGGCGAAGGATCGGTCAAAGGAAGATCCGGAGAGCCCAGTTTTTTCAGTCGGTAGACTAGACCCAGTTTTTCTTTCTCCTCGTGGCCTTCGAAGCATTAAGTTGTGGTGAGAGAAAACTTGCCGTGAAATTCAAAAGTGTTTGAAGAAAAGTTACAAAGTACAGTGAAAATTACCCAATATAACTAATACTTTTCTAAGCATATAAGTGAGTACCTGTCTTCGCCAGTCATAGTTGGCTTGCACCCCAAAAACTTATCCATATTTTCAATTTCCATATTTTAAATCAAAAATTAGAATCGGCACATAGTTTGGAGTTTAAATAAACGCCCTTTTAACTGGCCAAGTCGCAGCAAAAGGAAAACAGCTGGAACCAAAGCTTTAAGCCCCCACCAACAACCAGCTGATCCACAGATGTACTGGCAGTGAACTTTTGCTGTGCGTGTCGAAGACAGACGTCAGCTCTGGCGTAGCTCGGCGAATTGGCTTGTTAGCCGTTTTCTGTGTTTTTGAACCTGGTCAAAAGAATAGTCATTCTCAATAGACCGTTGTGATCAGGTTAAGTCCGAACCCTCGAAAATTTGCATGTAAGGTGGCACCCTTGGACCACGTACGAACCTAACCTCCTGATGACCCTTAGTGACACCTGCCTATTCTAAAGACTCTTTTGGACAGCCGCCTGCCATGATCGCGGCCTGCATTCCTTTGACCCTCGCAGTAATTCTTTTTGGTTCTCTTGGGTACGACAAGTGTAATGTAAAGTCAAACCCAAAGCCCAAAAAAAAAAAACAAAATTATAATTATTTTGAAAGTGGCTTTAAAAGTTGGAGCTTAAAAGCGTTCACGCAATACTTTCGTATTAGAGAGCTTCCGCCATGCAGCACCAGGTGCGCATATTTGTTTTTGGTTTTTCAGATAAAAGCGTCATAATCTCACACACACAGAGACACCCCAGCTACAAAAGATCTTTCGGCGCGGGAGCAAACAAGCAATCCAACACACTGTAAGCAAAGACAATTTAAGAATAAGATACATAACGCCATACGAAACTTTTGCACACGAATTTTGCAGGCTGGCTTTAGAGCTGGATCCAGGCTCTCTTGAAATTTTTTAGAGAGAGAGAGCGCTCTAGAGCCAGCCGCTCTCTTGTATGCATACAGCATACGAAGGCACACGAAGTTGGTTCTCTGCAGCTGCGACAGCCGAGTCGAGTCGCGACGACTGTATGTGTGTCTCGCTTGTGCGAGAATTTTGATATTATTTTTAAGAAATTGCAACTTTGTAGTTCGCCATCGCTGTGCTTTGTTTTGCCGTCTATTCTAAAAATTAAAAGCCTTTGTTTGCCAAACACTGAAGATATACCTACAATATCAATTTTAAAGGAAACTATTCTTCAAAACATTGAGGATATATGGATAGCTAACTTAAGTTTGTGGCATAAAGCTGCATTTTTTGTATGTCCACCAGCTTTAAATGTGCAGCCAAATGAAATGGAGGAAATTAAAAACTTTTGCATTTCTCATATTCTAGATAATATTAACTTAGCAAATACTAAAGAAAGGGAATCTTTAAGTTCACCTTCATTTGCTGCGGCATGACAGGTTTCTTTTGATTCGAGTAGTGACCTTTTCGGTCAAAGTATTTTTGATTTAAGCGGCCAAGTATCATCTGATAAAGAAAATTATGCTTTCTTTTTTGAAAATTTAATAAATCGATCTGTTTCAAAAATCATAGAAATGCGTGAATAGGAAATAGAGAGGGATATTGCAAGGAAAAAGTTGATATAAACGCAAATTATAATTTGATGGAGTGGTTGCAAAACAATCAAAAGAAATACCAGCTAGCAGTGCAGCGGCTGAGCGCTCGTTTTCTTTGGCGGGAAACATTATAACAGAAAAACGTAATACGCTAGGTCCAGCCTCGGTTGACAGCTTACTTTTCTTAAATTCCTTTCTTAAAAATTTTAATACCTAAATGTACATATATAATTTACATTTTTATATATATCTATCATATTTGATCTCATAAAAAGAAGGAATTTTTATACCCGTGCTCAAAAAAGAGTTAAGGGG